TATTCCAGTGACCTGGAAGCATCTGTTCTAGATGAGTTTTTGCAATTTAAAGATTTGTCTTCTGAATCTGACAGGTCAGTGACAAACATCTCCACTTTGCTGAGGTCTTAAGACAACTGCCTTTCCAAACATTAGTATCTTGGTAAGAATTTTCCTTACCATCCCCATTACAAATGTGAAGGAGAGAGGTCTTTTCATCATCTAGGTGAAAAATCACCTGAGGTCTACCATGGGACAAACCAGATTAAACTCACTTTCATTATTATGCATTGAATCTGGCCTCCTACAATCTTGACACAAACAGTATCATTGACACATTTTCCATGAAAAAAGTAGAAGAATTTATTTTGAAATTCACAGTTTGTTGTACTTCATGTGCTTACAAAATTGTTTATGCTTCAGTTAATTGTATTTCTGTCATTATTCCCATATATAAGATGTACATGATATAGAACTAATTTGATTAAAGGTAATGATGTGTCACATTGTGTTGAAATTTTATTTTACGTTATATTGTGATATTATAATATTTGATGACATTTGGCCACAAAATATTACAATAATATTAATATATATATATATATATATATATATATATATATATATATATATATATATATATATATATATATATATATATATATATATATATATATATATATATATATATATATATTGGTTATTGAAACATGCAAACATTTCTATAAATTTGGGGGCCCACTGATGAGTTTGGCCTGGGGCCCACAAGAAGGTAAATGCTCCTGGTGGTACCACATCTAGTGTGTGATATGTAACATGTTCTACCACATCTAGTGTGTGGTGCTTAATATGTGCTACCACAGGTAGTGTGTGGTATTTGACAGGTGCTACCACATGTAGTGTGTGGCATTTAACATGTTCTACCACATTTAGTGTGTGGTATTTAACAGGTGCTACCACATGTAGTGTGTGGTATTTAACATGTTCTACCACATTTAGTGTGTGGTATTTAACAGGTGCTACCACATGTAGTGTGTGGCATTTAACATGTTCTACCACATTTAGTGTGTGGTATTTAACAGGTGCTACCACAGGTAGTGTGTATTTAACATGTTCTACCACATTTAGTGTGTGGTATTTAACAGGTGCTACCACATGTAGTGTGTGTATTTAACATGTTCTACCACATTTAGTGTGTGGTATTTAACATGCTACCACATGTAGTGTGTGCATTTAACATGTTCTACCACATTTAGTGTGTGGTATTTAACAGGTGCTACCCACAGGTAGTGGTGCATTTAACATGTTCTACCACATTTAGTGTGGTATTTAACAACAGGTGCTACCACAGGTAGTGTGGCATTTAACATGTTCTACCACATTTATGTGTGTGGTATTTAACAGGTGCTACCACAGGTAGTGTGTACATTTAACATGTTCTACCACATTTAGTGTGTGGTATTTAACAGGTGCTACCACATGTAGTGTGTGGCATTTAACATGTTCTACCACATTTAGTGTGTGGTATTTAACAGGTGCTACCACAGGTAGTGTGTGGCATTTAACATGTTCTACCACATTTAGTGTGTGGTATTTAACAGGTGCTACCACAGGTAGTGTGTGATTAACATGTTCTACCACACCTAGTGTGTGGTATTTAACAGGTGCTACCACAGGTAGTGTGTGGTATTTAACAGGTGGTACCACAGGTAGTGTGTGGTATTTAACAGGTGGTACCACAGGTAGTGTGTGGTATTTAACAGGTGGTACCACAGGTAGTGTGTGGTATTTAACAGGTGGTACCACAGGTAGTGTGGTATTTAACAGGTGGTACCACAGGTAGTGTGTGGTATTTAACAGGTGCTATCGTACCATTTGTTTTTGATCTTTCATAAAAAGTTATGGACAAAATTTTAAATGCCAATTAAAATTCATTGCTTTTAATTTGGTAAACTTGACAGGTACGAATGACACCAACATGCTTTTAACTTGATTTTCCCCCCTATTTTTTAAATTTTTTCTGTTAATATTTTTTAATACGGAATTCAGTGTTGTGACGTGTTGCTATGGATTCTCTGGAAAGTCACTTTATCATTTACGGTCAGCTTATTAAAACTGTCTCGTGAATTAATATAAGTTAGATATGCACTAACTATCTGTATCAATGGGACCCAGCCGTAGTGTTATCCTCTTTTAAACCCATTGAATCGACAACAAACTACCAGCTTGTTTAGTCACAGAGCACTAAGGCTTTAAGTCATTTATGTTCGACAACTGAAAATTCAGAATAAAATGATGAGCCATACTTGAAAAGGACAATAATAGACAGGTCGTAAAATTCAGATCCCATTCTCGTCGTATACTGACGACTCAGAGGTGATAACGCTATCGGTCGCCCTCCACTCACCGTGAAAGACGATAAAAGATTTAGAAGAATTGGTTGGAGAAAATGAGTTCCAGGTTAGGGTCCCCACTCATCTTTCTCAGCCAAGATTCTCTGGATTTAACCCCAGGAAATATAAATCTCCCCCAAAATCCAATTATGATGAGAAGTCTGACGGAGGGGGTGAGTGTGAGACGCCGCCTGGTGACGGGATATATACTTAATCTCACCTTTTATTAAAATTAAATGTACAGTACTTGTTTCTCAACCAATGTGTACGTTCCGTTGTTTAATGTTAGTAAATGGATTAGGTTATTGGATAGTGGTTATATGATTTGTTGTTGAGAATAAATAGTAATTTCTAGTGAGTAGTATATCATACTGTACTGTGTTGGAATGTATGCCTGTGATTCTTGTGTATATTGTTTTATTATGACCAGTACAGTTCCTTCTGAATGCAGTAATAGACATATTCTCAGCTACTATCAATGAAAGAAATGTGATGAATTAACAGGTACAAGATGTTAAATATCTTGTAACTGTTAATTAATAAAAAAACAAAAACAATTTCATTGATAGTAGCTGAGAATGTCTGTTACTGCGGTACGAATGGATGGCGACGTGTGTGTGTGTACGTACCTTGTTGCTGGGCACCCTTCTTGATACTAGAAATCTTGAGGCTCATAATTATGATGACTTCAACTTAACCGAAAGTATCCACAATGCTTTCACACAGAGGCCCATCAAGGAACATTATTTCCAGCTTCGTTAAGAGCAGATTTTTTTTATGAACATAATTATGATAATAAAAACGAGATACAATTATCGTACATGTGGTGGAAGGTCCAGTTAGGAAATACCATGGTTGGCAAAAATATTGCACTGTGGTCACTCAATTAACGAACACAATTGGTTCCACAGTCAATTGTTAACTGAAAATTTCGTTAACTGAATCTATTATTTCAATGGGATATTGGGTAATTGGTTCCAACTCACAGAAAAAGTAGACATACAAAGTACAGTACGTACTGTATACTGGTAATAGAATTAACAAAACATTAAATATAAACTAAATACAGTACTGTACTGTACAATTTACTGTACAATAATAAATAAAAAACAATAGAATACTGTATTTTACCTTACTTTAAGGTGTGTATGTCATATTCCCGGCAGCTTTGTTTACATATCAAACAGCTGATTGTAGAGGCAGTCGATGATGACAGGCCATATTCTTTAAAGTGCATTGGTTCTAATGCCTTCTTCTTGTTTCATAATAATTTCTGCACTGTATATTATCAAAATGTTAACTATATTTCAGAATTACCAATAATTTTAACATAAAAAATGCAAAAATATTCAAGAGACCAACTTTCTTGATATTTACTCCACTGGAAACAAATGTAAACACAGAACTGATTACTGTACAGTATTGGCGGACTAGCCGATCAGCTGATGCACACAACAAAGCGTGTTTCCCGTAAGGCTGTCGTTAATCGAAGTTTTGTTCGTTAATGAAACTGAAAATCCTTATGGGAGCTAATTCGTTACCGAAATTTCGTTAATTGAGCCATTCGTTAATCAAGGGACCACTGCATTTATTGCAAGACCCAATTCCTGCGACCACACCCTTACCGTCTTTTAAGGCGGAATCCTACCTTCTTCTAGTGTGGAATCCTACAGTCTTCTGGGGTGGAATCCTTCTGCCTTATGGGGTAGAATCCTAACGTCTTCTGGGCAGGATCCTACCGCCTTATGGAGCGGAATCCTCCTGTCATCTGGGGCGGAATCCTACCGCGTTATGGGATGAAATCCTATCGTTCTCTAGGGCGGAATCCTACCGTCTTCCTGGGCAGAATCCTACCGTCTTCCGGGGGGAATCCTATTGTCTTCCGGGGGGAATCCCATTGTCTTCTGGGGCGAAATCCTACCGTCTTCTGGGGAGGAATCCTATCTTACTTCTAGGGCGGAATCCTAACGCCTTCTGGGGTGGTATCCTACGGTGGAATCCTACCCTGTTTCGGGGCAGAAACCTATCGTCTTATGGGTGAGATCTTACGTCTGCTGGGGCGGAATCCTACAGACTTCTTGGGCAGAATCCTTTAGTCTTTTGGGGCGGAATTCTACCGTATTCTGGGGCGGAATCCTATAATTTTCTAAGACGGAATCCTACTGTCTTCTGGGACGGAATTCTATCATCTTCTGGGGCAGAATCCTACGTCTTCTGAGGAGGAATCCTACCGTCTTCTAGGGCAGAATCCTACCGTATTCTTGGGCGTAATCCTACTGTCTTCTGGGCGAAATCCTACCGTTTTCTGGGGAGGAATCCTACCGTCTTCTCGGGCAGAATCCTACCGTATCCTGGGGCAGAATCCTATCGTTTTCTGGAGCGGAAACCTATCGTCTTCTGGGGCAGAATCCTATTGTTTTCTAGGGCAGAATCCTACCGCCTCATGTGTGTCAGGTGACCAAGGTGTTAGTCTTGGGTGTGTCAGGTGACCAAGGTGTTAGTCTTGGGTGTCAAGTGACCAAGGTTAGTCAGGCGTTGCAGTGCTTGTGCTAGTCTCTCCATGCATCGCCTCATATATATATACAGAATATATTAAAGATAAATATGGTTAATTAATACACAATTATATGAATTTAGTAGCAGCAATTTATTCTAGATAATAATTTCCAATAAACAATGAGTATAACAAGATAGACTGTCTATCTTAGTATTAATATGACACAATATGGAACTGATATTAACTTTAAATCTGGTGAAGGTAATGAACACCGAGAAAAATAATTTACATAATAAGTTGTTATTCAGAAATCCATTTGCCTAAAACTCAAAATCTATGAAGAACCATTGATGGATTACTCCTGTTGAAGATGTTGAAATACAATTAATAAGACAAAAAACAAAGAACACATACAAACAATAATGCCAGTATAGTTCTCATAGGTCTTCAGTTTATGTCATCTGAGATTAAGGCAAGAAATATTTAACATACCATACTAAATTTTTTATGAATGTCTTAACAAAACCATTCTCTTAGAAATCAAGAAATAATAAACAGTTGTGATACACAGCTGAATATTTCAATAATAATAATAGCCAACCCAACTCATTTATAAATTACATTACATTAGGCAACAAAACACACATTAAAACCTCTTATAAGGGATATATGAAGGTATATCAACAATATTTTATAAAAAAATGTCTTCAAAACTATAAAAATTAAACCAAATCTTAACTAACTAGTGTACCGTACCTGACAAAAGATATACCTCTAACAATAACTCCTGGCCTAAACACGTGTACCGTACCGCACTCTTTTACCAGACTTAAAAATACGCGAAGACGTTTAAAAACATTAGTAGAGAGGCTCTGACGCAGAGGCACCTAACTCATCCCTCACGCTGTTCTCAGATCAAATGTAACTTATGCTTAACTAGTTGGAAAATTAAATTGATACCATAAACCTGAAATATGTTATTGATACAAAACTCTCTCTCTGCCAACAGATAAATACACGTATTGTAATATGCACGTCTGGATGAGAAGTCATATTAATATATCTGATAAGATTCTGCTTATAATACAAAAATGTGTCAATGTATTTTACAAATAAAAAAAAGATTATTATACTAAATGTGCTGTTACCTAATTTTTGCTTGCTCTGATGGCCTGTCTCTGCTGCTTGTTGGCCACAGCCTGTCATAAGAGAGAAATATGTGAGTATCACTCCTTTAAAACTCCTAAATCCATAAAAATCACAAGTAAAGAAAATCTTGGTAATTAATGAAGAGAAATATGCCCACAAAATTTTTTTTCCAAGTTGAACAGAGACCACAAACTTTGGTAAATATATAATGTGCTGATGTCTCAATTTATTTAGGATATGAAGTTGTTATACTACATTACATTTTGATCTGCAGAGATCAGAAAAAGATACAGTAATATCTCCATGAGTCAGAATCCCTTGATCCGGAACTCTCCAATAACTGGAATTGAAATTTTCTCGGGAAATCATTCCCAAAGCCGGAATTTTCCGGGAAATTCCAGCTATGGGAACGTTTTTCCGAGGGGCACATTTTACGGAAAATTTTTCCGTTACCCGAAAAATTCCGGGAACGAGGGATTTTTTTCCAGTTTTGAGAAAGTCGTCTCGTTTCTGGAAATCTCATTCCCAGGCACCAATTGTTCCGGCTAATGGAGATATCACTGAACTTGGAGCAATAAATGCTCCCCCATTCCAAGGTGTGGGCATAAAAATATTAAAGTTTGAAAGTTTTCATATTTAAAACTTGGGAACACTTTAAAAAGTTACCATTCAGGACTCGATACCTAAAACACAATCCTAACAAATACAGGGACCCCCAAGTTCGCAGATTTTTTCTTCTTGGTTCTCGGTTATTCGCGGATAACACCCTGGATGTACCCAAGAATGTCTGTGGGTAGTTTTAAAGTTGCCGGCATTTTTGCGGCTGGGACAGGGAGCCATTCGTTCTAGAGACAGTGATTTCCTTTACCTGTATTGTAAATGTGTGTGTGTGTAGACACACACACAAAACACATAAAATAAATAATAATGGGAAAATACTCTCAGAAATCATCAGAAAATTTATTAAAAATGTGACAGTCTACCCTCAAGTCCGTTCTCCATTACAGTACTTTATTAATAGAGCACGGACTAGAGGGTAGAATGTCACAATTTTATTAAATTTGTTTCCGATTATTTGTGAGAGGATTTATCAATTACTGTATTATTTATTTGTGTCTACACACACACACACACACACACAATACTACAGGTAAAAGAAGTAATTGTCCTAAGGTTAAACACATAAAGGGAATATATATTTCTTTGTACACAAGTAAAAATGTAACCCCCCACCCAGTCCGCAAATGGTATTCGCAGAAATTTTGAGAACCTAACCCCCGCGAATTTTGGGTGCCCCCTCATATCAACACACTTTTATCTATACACAGTAGTGGCGTAATAAACACAAGCCATCTGAAGGTGATATACTCCCCTAACTGTGGTTGGAGAGATGTCAAAGGGCCATAGATAGCTATGCCACACATTATAGAATCTGGGCTGGCTTCTTGGTATACAAACTCTCAATTAAAATTAAAACATATGACTACAGACAACATATACACTGCTATAATCCCCACTGGGCCAGAGAGAAAAATAAACACATATTAACAATAAGTAAACACTGCTCCTGCAACCTACCTGGAAACCAGACTTAATGGGAGCGACAGAACATCGAGAATTACACTGTTCGCACTGTAGGAAGTAGAGGCGGGCATCTTTCTGGAGGATAGTGTCAGGAGATCGACATGTGTGGCAAGTGACATACTCCTTGATGTATCTGTGAGAACAATACATGTTTACACCAGAAAATAAATTTGAAAATAACCTGAGAATTAAATAAACTTAATATAGCAGTCTCTGTATAAAACTCTATAAGCCTGGAGGTGAGTAATAATAAAAAATAATAAATAAAAATATTGTCCATGCAATAAGATGAAAGTATTTGCAAGTGCGTAAAATGGTCAGTATTTCATGGATAACAGAATTCCTTTCAAGAGATAAACTTGTGAGGGTTGACCAATGTATATTGCAATACAGTACAGTACTCAACAGCATAAAGCTTTCAGAACAAAAACAACCTAACTCAAACTCATAGCTCCTTATGATCTTCTAAAACAGAGAAAACTGTTTACAAGACACTAGGTACATTAAGGTTCCTACACACAAGCTGATAAGTTTTTCATCTTACCTCCTAAGCACATTTTCTATTTGTTTTTGCTGGAATCTTCCCTTGATGATCAATTGATTACTACCTGTAATACAAGAGTAATATTATGTAGTGAACTATACTATCCTGAGAGCTAGATAATAAAGTGAATGCTTAATAAAAATATAATAAAATAATCTGTTAACTTTTTCACAACTACAAACAGTGAGGAAGATAGACACAGGGTTTTATATCATCTTGTTATATCAACCAATTCCTCTGTATGATCTTGAAAGCAACCCGTCACATTACAACACCGACAAGAGTTACTGTAGTCCAGCGTTAACATCTAACTGCCACAAGAATGAGTACTATTTCTGGCATGCTATAGAATATAACTGAACACAAAAGCCACCAATCAAAACAAACTACTGTATTCCACACCACTAAGCAATGAGCTCACCATCAATACTTCCTGATGTACCCAACTCGGCCAGAAGAAACTGCAATACGTGTTTGGGCATTCTGTGAAGAAGCCGACATATCTCTGCAAAGTTGGCAAAAGCGGTTTTCTTTGACCCAATCCTGACAACCTGGGGAGAAAATTTCAATCAGAGAAAAGACAAAACTTATCAAACTTGAACCATTTTAGAGTCATTACAGTGAACTATCTTTTAATTTAAGTAGGAAACAAAAAAGACAAAGAAGTGTAAAACAATCAGACAAAATACTAAAGAGGTTGGTGGATCGCGTTAGGTTGACTGTAGAATAAGTAATTCACACCTCACTATAGTCTGACCACCCCTAACCTAACCACAAAACAACGACTCTATTACATACCTGAGGTGGTTTCATGACAAACTTCTTCTTTTCGCCGGTGGCCATCTCGGGGTTCTTTTCACGAAGCTGGTTAAATGCACGTTCCAACAACTCATCGTAGGTGTAATCACGTTCGCTGCCCACCCATCCATCTCCAGACTCTGAGAGATAAAAGAGGTGGTCCTGTATAGTGACAGCACTGTACAAAGAGTTCTCAAAAACTGAAAGACCCAAAGAGGATTGTTAAGGAACTCAGGATCCATGATTTATAAATACGGTAAATCATAGTAAAGTACAACAGGACAAAATACAGTGCTTCCTGATTGATGACATGTTTATAGTTGTGCCCAGATATGAAGTACAGTACCCTGAAGAAGAGAATCACTTGGTGTTCGGATCTCTAAATCAAGGATGCAAACAAACATTGGCAATACCATTTTTCACTACAGCATTTAGGACTCTTCCCCCACCCCTCGTGTATGGATTTCTAAGATATGATAAGTTAATCTAACACTACATATATCAAGACTTAAAAAGTTTTCAAACTAAACCCTAAAAGAACATAAAATAAATGAATTATTCACACTATTAACCTTAACTGTACTTAGGCCTTTTTGAGGAAAGTCGAATAAATTGTAACAATTAGATGGTGATGTTTCCCATTTTCAATTTCAGGAGTTGTTGTGAATTACAGTACATGTGTTTGGGACCTCAGACATAATGACAGTATCAATGTTGGTCCCTATGTTAGACATCAGTGCAAAATCCACCTCTGTGAATAATATACAGTAAACTCTCTGTTATCTGGTACAGTACTTGTGATATTGGCTAGAAATACTGACAAAAATCCTAATTCCCCTTACAATAAATCACTTAGAAAATTGGTAGGGTTCCAAACTTAAGGAGCACCAAGTGAGTAGTCCTCCAGAGCTCCCGGTGTGCTTCCTACGACAGCTTACCCACAGTGTCCCATATTTCCCCCCCTGAATCTCAATAATACTTCACTCCCTCAAACTAAAGGAGAGTGCCAGTGTGTCATGCTGCTACACAAACCTGACATATGGAAGCAGTTGGACAATGGCTCTCTTTTAATGCTGTTTAAGTTTGGAATAATATTTTTTACAGCAATATCTATTGTTTTCTGCATTAGAGCTACAGGCATTATAAAAATTATTCTCTTAAAAAAGCAAATTCCTCGAATGGACAAGACAAGAGAGTGTCTACTGTATATACGACATAAATTATCCCCCACGTTCACACACAAAAGACAAGGAAGAGAATAAATTTCATCAAACCTTAATAGATATCAAAAAATTTTAGTGTTAAAAAAAAAAAGCACATTACAATCCTCTAAGGCCTTGCAGGTTACAAAATGAGCCAAGGATATCTAGTGAGGTCTTAAAAAAAAAAATTATTTACTAGACAGCTGAAGGAAGGCAAGGCAGATTTCATTTATCCTTGTGGTGAACAGGTGAGACGTAGATATCAAGGTGCCGGACACGCTCAACACTTACCCCTTATTTCCTCGCACACAACTGACTCCTCTGAGAGCATGTGTGTAAGATACCACTATTAATTGAAGACATTAAATCATTAGACAATAAAATAATGAATTACTATCTATAAATACAACATGAGACTGCAGAGGACATATTTCAAGCACAGATATAAGTGTATGTCAAGAAGAAATCAAAAGCATCTGGTGAATTTAGATCCAACTCTGCAATACAACAAATAAATAGCAAATAACATTAAAAAAAATCATAGTATGACATGAAGTTGAGCATCTAAACTAGCATATAACTTGGTCATACTTGCTACTAGATGCTAACATGCTATAATAAGGCATATCCTCTGGTAGTAAAAATTTTGTACAAATCCACCTACAGTACTCTTATAAAAAATGGATTTTTGGGGGATTCTTAAATATTCTAGCTGAAAATGTCATAATTTCCATGACATGACAGCCCATGCATAGGCTTCTTAAAACAATTGGTTATCACATACAGTACAGTATATCCCATTTTCAATTGTAGTTCCAATTTTATCATTACCCTCTTCATGAAATTTTTCCTGCAAATAATTATTCACAAATATTATTTACCACATCTTCAGAATATCACAAACTGTTAAATAGTGTGAATACAGAGTACAGTAGTGCTTAAGGGTGTGTTTGCTGCACCTAAACACCATACTTAAAGCTACTACAACCTGACCTCAATTACATACTGAATGTGAAAGTGCAATCCATGGCCTGCTGACCTGTTAGGGGCAGTACAGATGCAGCTTACTGATTACAGAGCTTTCAGTATATAAGGAGGCAGTGTAGCCAACACTACACTTAACAGCCTTCATTTTTCAACTGTAACACTAAGTACCCATCTACAGCTGGTGGAGCCCTGAGCACAAACCCATGACGCTTGGTACAGGAGGCATGTATTGTATCAAGTCATCCAATGCACCCTTATAACAAGGTCAAAATCCTTGGTTCATTTACAGTTTAGAAGTAATGCATTGTTTTCATATATATATATATATATATATATATATATATATATATATATATATATATATATATATATATATATATATATATATATATATATATATATATATATATATATATATATATATATATATATATATATATATATATATATATATATATATATATATATATATATATATATATATATATATATATATATATATCAAGTGATGTTAGGAACTGTCAAACCATCCATCACACAATCAAAACTTTAACGCAAAAAAGTGTCAACAAAGCAAAGGCCAAGATATTATAACACACAAACATCAGCCCGAGGGATCTGTCAGCATAGTTACTAAACTTAATCTTAACTTGGAATAAAAACAGGAATTAGTCAATAACAAAGAAGCAGCATCAAAATTAACTCCTCAGGAGAAAGGTACAAGAGCCAAAGTGTCCTGGTAATTAAGAGAACACTGACGAGGGTACAGTGGTTGGTGTTGGTCTGGTGGATACGTGAGACAGGTGGAAACCATATGAACTAAGCTGTCAACTCCCGGTCTGTGTCCAGGATTGACAGAGTAAATGACCAGGAGTTGACAGCTGTGAAAAAAATTTGTCTGAGTGCAGTGGTACAGAAGAGGAATGTAAACAAAACCAATGAGAATGTAAAATGCAAACAGAATTATAAAACTATTTGTATACTGTATCAGGAAGGTGAAAACAGGGTAGCAGGAGCAAACAGTGGCAGAATGTGTGTGTGCATTATTACGGAGGACGTGTAAAAATAAGTACACACTCTTGTAACAGGATGTCAAGAGAATGAAATACACAGAGAGGGAGTTCTTGAATCTTAACCGCTGTGAAAAGTTGCAGACCCACTCGACCTCAACTGTGGAACACTTACAGTACTTCCACCAACTTATAATATTTTTCTCCCACCTTCAATCTTTGGCATAAATTGGTGCCTCTACACACCTAACCATAACTCTACATTCACTTAAAAATATTTCACATTCAATGATATAAATTTCATGGAGAATAAATGACTTGGAGTCTCCTTAGGATGGGTTAAGTGGAGGAAACACGGTCATATGAACCTCCTCATTCATCCAAAACCTTCACAGCTTCTCATTTCCCACTCCAAGTTGCCACATCACTTTATACTGTACTGTACTCACTTCTCAACTCTCTCTCCCACATACTGGTATTAAAAGCCTCTACTGTTGGGCAGATTCTCCTTCAATCTCTTAAATACATTCTTCACACTTGACGCCACTTCTTGTACAGTCAGTAAAATAAGTATCAACCACTTCAACTGACGCCGGTAACCAAAGATAAACGTTTACAGTTTTCACGAGATGTTTCATTTCGTTACGCACGGCAAGGTGGTCAACACTTTTTTTATTGACTATATTTAACAATACAACCATCATCCTCACTAGACACATTTAACTTTTCCATACTTTATACAACCAAACGAGGCAGGTAGTATTCAAAACGGTCCAATCAACTAGAATTTAGATGTAATGTAGTTAGTTGTAATTATTCACATAGTAATACTGTAATATGAAACAGCAGCTCAAAAAAGATAATAATGCTGGGTGTTAAAATGTGAGCTATCTGGCATGACAGGATGAAACCAACACTATGCAGGTCTGTGTACAGTATAATGGCTAGTACAGTAAGAGCAGCTACAGAATACTTTAATAACAGCAGACGGGCCTCAATCTCAACAAGTAAGTACTGTACCGTTCAGTCATGCAAGCGACCCTATTTTAGCACGAGAAAATGTTCTGAACTACCTGCTATTTGTACGACTAATGAACCCACCTGTATGACCAGTCAAATATATGTAATTAATATCAAGGCCCAATAAGCGATAGTGAATACTGTAACAATTAATTCACACTTTTGAATATTTCCCAGATGGTAAAATGTTTTGGGTTATCAAATATTAAACACAAGGACCTACACAATCCCCTGCAGCATAATACTCTGAACTGTACAGCTCTGGCTACACTAACTAACTGGTCAATAATGTGTCACATATCCATAACCTCACAGTATAAGAACAAATAATAGAAAGTTTCAACAATACCAATAAAATGGAAAAAATACACAAATATCCTACAACTACTAGAAGTGTACATTACACAACTAGCAACATCAATGAGGTAACTGCATATTATCAGGCATACTGTATACATATGGTAAGTGATAAACAAGTTCATAACCTAACAGAGAAGTACCTTTAAGTTATGTGAAAGGAACACCGATCTGTGTTTGCTTATTTAATATGTAATGTGAATTTGCGGTGCAAGAAATTCCACTCACTACAAACAGTTCCAAGCTAGAGCAGTTCAAGTATTGACACAAGTTACTGTACTGCAAATAACAATAATGAAAACAGAGTACAAGTGCTGTTATGTATGACAAACAGGTTATGAAGAATTCAATTTTAACTGGCCCGGGCTTTTAACGAGTCACCCATCAGTTTCACATCTGGAAACACAGTTGTTACACTCAATACTCATTAATATCTTGCCAAGTGCCCTGTACTGAAACCTTTCAAAATTGAGAAGAAAGAAAAAATAAAAATACTGTATATACAAAACAATAAGATTGAATTGAACGCATCCCGTTTTTGCCTGACTGTGTATACTTTATGGGGTAGACTGAAGAGTTTACCAATCAGGAGACCAGTTAATATGATAGAAGTAATGCTCAGGTAAGAATAACAGGCCAGGTAAAACGAGCAGAGGAAGATTTAGCACATTAAAACTCTATTTCCTCTGTACGCTACAAATATCTCTACATACTGTGTTCTTCCATTGATCAAGAGCACAACACAGTATTCTAACGTTGCCTTCTGTTTCAATATACTGTACCATCCCACAATACATTTTCTTCTCAAATCCAATCCAATTCTTCCATTCAGAAACTTGACACTGTACAGTACATGTAAACTTTCTTCTGGTATCTTTATATAATCATTCATACACTATTCTATTCACCAAAAGACAAACAAAAAATATTAATATTTAGTATATTTGAGCAACTGTTTCAATATACTGTATAGTAATTAATTAAGTATATTTGAAATGTGAAAAAAATATAAAATAAATTAAAAAAAAATATGAAAGCCATCAAATTGGCCTTCCACGTCAGTGCAAGATGGGTGACCAAAAGCAGATACTGGAGCTAGAGGCATCCCGACACAGAATTCTATGGAGCTGCTAAAGGTGCATCATCAGGATACACGGGTGTTGGCCAAATTTCTTACTAAAGGACGATAACATGGATCGGTGAATGTTGATCCATTATCAGTGTGAAAAAATGATAAATGGAGGACTCATCATGAAATTCACTTTTATAACTGAGACTGGATTGGGCAAACTGTGTATTACTGTTACTAAATCTGTAGCTGGGACTAATCCAAGGAACTGTTATACCTGCCCGTGAAATGAAAGCCCTTAAAATGAGGGTCGTAGAAACAGGAGTTACCTTGTAAAGAAGAAGCCCAAATGTGAACTTCATGTCACTTCCTGGTTGTAACCCAAGACACCTGGATCAACCCTCAGTGCCTTCTCTTTACCCTCGGCAGCAAGGCCTTATTATACAATACACTAAGCACTGCACTCACGACCTATGATAGTTAGGAGGCCTACAATATTGTTAAACACAAAAGTGATATAGTAATAAAACTGACATAAAGGCAGTGGGCCAAGAGAGTACTGTACTGGGCTTATGAATCATGTTCAAATATATATTATTTTTATGTAGTGAAAACCAATAGTCAGCAAAGTGTGGAGAAAGGAACCCCAGTCCAGTCTTAGTAATAAAAGGGAATTTCAGAATAAAATGTCCATTTATAACTTCATGACTGTACTGGGCATCTCAAAGGTAAGAAGCCAGCAAGATACAGTAGCATGAAATGTTCCAATCAATAAAGTAAAATGCTACCCTTACATATTTCCCAAAGCCACACAGTCAGATTGTCTTGTATCCTCACCTACGTAAGACTAATGAGTCCGCCCATAGCTAGGCCCATCTTAGCAGTAGAAATGTAATGGGGACACCCCTCAGAAAGGATAATGGTACGTCTCTTTCGGGTTGTATATCCCAGATGCTCCACAATTCGGTCTTTTATTCAAAATCAACTAGTTTTTGTTGAAGACACCCTGTACCTTAATAGACGAGCCAGGTGCCAAGACAGAACAGTGCGTGTGGTGGGAACCATCCCCGTGTTTTCGGTTTAAGAAGGAAATATATACGTTGGTGTGAAAGAGGAGTCTCGGTTTTTGACAAGACTGCTGTTATAATGTACAATACTATCTGGTCTTCTACTTAGGTGGCAAATTATGTTTCTCAGATCTCTTCTAACAGTCTGGTCTTAGGGAGAAAGTGTAACTATTCTTTGGATTAGTCCCAGCCACTAATATCTCTGAGTTCCTCGGGTACTAAACCCACACACTTGTTACGCGTAGCAGTAATACACAGGTTGCCGTTTACAGTCGTGAGGTTATAAACAGATAGCAGCCCCACTGGCCTCCACCTTCCCTGCAACTTTCATGCAATATCGTCTGCTGGCAAGGTGATGCCTTATTCTTCTGGAATATACAGGGAGTGACTTGACTTAAAGAGTGAAACAGAAAAAAAAGACCATCACAAAGGTCCAAGCTTCTGATACAGTAAGGGATGTAATCAGTAAAATTTATGGTAAATCTGATACAAAGGATGCCACTGAACCAGAAGAATGCACCTTTGCCATTACATAGGCTGCTGTACATGCTTGTCTGTGGCTTTTAATTAGTTCCTCACCCTCAATATTTACCAGGCCCGGCTCCCGACTTGTATCGGTTTCCAGATCTGAAAGAACATCTTCATGGGACGAGATTGAGGGTTACTTAGGCACTATGACAACTTACAGGTAGCTAGAAGTCCAAGCTTGAGACTTCTCTGAAGGCCATCAGGCACTGTAGGGCCAAGGGTAACCAGCTTAAAGGAAGACTATGTTAAATATTAACATAATCACTGACAAAAACCACAACTTTTTATCATTAGTTTCTCATAAAATTACACACTAACACCTATATTAATTTTTATACAATAAAATCCCTTTTAACTTTAAATTAAAAATTTTTATTTTGGAAATATATCAGTTTGCTTAAGGAATCAGAGTTCAATGCAAGGATCATGCAATGACTTCTAAATAGACTGAAGCATCAACAAGAATTTCATTCATTTTCACCTCAAGTGAGAATGATCTTGGACGAGTTAAAAAGAGAGATTCCTTTAAATGACGTCTGAAGTGAAGACGAAACATTCACCCATTTCTTTTATAACAAGAAAGGCTTCCAGCCTTTCAAATTCTCCCCCAAAAATTAACAAGGGAAGCAGGGACTTGATGCATAGTTTGTTATAAGAATACTGCACTACATACCAAACAATGTGTATGTATGTATTATCTACTGAGCTTTAAAACCCATTGTGTAATATATTTTGTTACCTTTACTACACTGAAAAATTCCTTAACATTAAAGAATAATCCTCAAGGTATAAATCTTACTTTACATTAGGACACTAAATCAATTTCCCAGTCTTCAACCAACTCCAGTGGTGGCTTAATTTGGGTGCAAAACAAAATTCTCATAATATACCATTTGCACCTAAACTTTTCAGCTGCAATGTGATCTGAGCACGAGGGAGAGGAGGAGGAGGGTGGGGACAGTAGCAGCGTATACATCAGTTACATGGAATGACAGAAAAAAAAAAAGAAGTGATTCCCATTGTTCAAGAGAGAAAAGTTATAGAACCTCTTGTGCTGCCTGAATTACTAGGTGGCAGGAGCAAGGAGGGACATGTAGGGGGATCATCTTGGGTTAATGTCTGGTATGTACAGTATCCTTAGCTGGTGTTACTGTTTACTCAAACCCTCAAATTAACACCATCTATGTCTCTTCAGTCATTAATGAACAGTAATAGTAGTATATAACGAGGGGACCAACATGCCGGGTGAAGGTTAGGTTCAGGCTGAAAAAATAAGAGAAATGAGATGTAGAGTCTGAAGGATTAGATATGGAAGCATTTAAGGAACACCGTCAAAAGCCTGCTATAGGAGGTTGGGGGAGGTGGAGGCATCTCTTTATCCTCCCCATTAATATTTCTTGGTGGTTTTATAGCAAGTAAGTCGCCTTGACCATCAGCAACCATTACGACTAATAATTTTCTTCTCTACGACAGTGTCCCCATACTGAAAAGTGCTGCAACACATATAAGGGATACTGAACTGAATATTTAGCATAAAACAAAAAGAACGAACAATTAAAACAGACTTGACAACAGTTTTCAATTCCAGAGTATCCGTGTAGTTCCCCCAATACACAAAATGAGTTACTCCTCCAAATTAATCACTAACTGGTTATACGGTACACTATCATCTTCGTTGTCAATATGTTTGGGTGTATATCAATGCAAGTTATTATGTACAGATTTTTTTTATATGATACACAATTTTCTTTAACCGTACACCTTCAGAATGTAATAACGATAATTTTCTTTAAACTATATGTGGTGTAAATTGTAATCCTTCTTGGTGTTAACTGCAATCTCCTTCAACCCTCAGTATTATCAGTCCAAGTTCATCATCTAATACCTGCCAGGTCCTTCATCTACTGATACATCAATAGTCAATGTCCTGCCAAAATTCAAACGATATTTCTCCATCTATCAGCACCGAAGCTTCTGTTGCTTAATAAATATCTGGTAGTGTGACAATTCGAGCCACAATACCAAACCTCTTCGTACCTAAAGCGCTGGACTATGGTACTGTTCGTTCTCAATAATGTGCGACAACTACCTCCTCCCTCTCCTCTCTTTCATGTTTTTTTTACTCCTTGTTACTCCTAATAAAGAACTCTTCCTCCGTGCATTTTTTCTTTCCTTCATATTCAAACAGCGACACAGTCAGTCAATATGTTCCTATACTGTACCCCCCCCCCCCCACATACAGCACTACCACACAACCAAATGTTCTTGCATGGACACTTTGCCAAATATTCATACTAAGAATCACTGCCCAAAATCCATACTAAGAAACACTGCCAAATATTCACACTATGATACAGTACTGTCAAATTTTCCTGCACAGACACCTGGCAAATGTCCTTTCATTAAAACAGTCAAATATTATCACTATGTTGTATCATACTTCATTCTTTACCTCAGTCTAGTATAAATGCTCCCCATAACATCAGACACAGCTCTCTACACTCCTCGTTATTCTCTCGTAAGTAAGATATGAGTTAATAACAAACACTCTTACTATCCTTTAAATCTTAAATTTAAAGAAATGACACAAAAAGGCACTGCACCAAACTTCCTTAGTAATAATTCTTGCTCCTCAAAGCAAAGAATTAAAAGTACCGTACTCTAAACTAGTCGGTGCGATGAAGAAAATATATCGTGAAACCTCCACATAACGGACGTCTCTCCATATAATCCATTAGATGGGGGGGTCTCACATCTAACGGAACCTCGATATAACGGGACTTTTATCTCTGTATGGTTCGTTACACGGAGGTTTCATATTTAACGGACCCTCGATATAACGGGACTTTCCTCTCCATAAAGTCTGTTATTTAGAGGTTTCACTGTAAAACTTAGAACAGGTTCGTACATTAAACTACTGTATGGGCATCCCCAGGTTACGGAAATTCACTCTTACGGATTTTGTAAATTATGACCAATAAATCCGGGATACGGACAAAAAATTCGCCCTTACAGAAATTGGGTAAATTTTTTAATTACATTTATTTTGTATGGATTTCATGGTGGTTGGTACAATACTGTATAGGGTGAGGCAGGAGCCAGTAGTGCCCCTCCGTCTCCCTCCCAGTAACTCTGATTGCACCCCCTTACCTTACCACCTCACCTAACGTACCACTCAACATAGTTTGTGTTAAATTCAAGTGTTTTGTATATTTATTATCATATTATATCATAAGATAATCAATGTATGTGTTAACAAAATTATTTTCATTCATAAACGTGCTTGTATTACGTCTTTTTGCCAAAAATATTTCCTTGGGAACGCATCTCCAATTACTGTATATAATGAACGTCAATGGGAAAATTGGTTTTGCGTTACTGACAAATTTTCAAGGACAAATACCTTCAGTAACCCGGGGGATGCCTGTACAGTAGATATTGTTACCCTACAGTTCCATCAAAATAATGCCAGAATGCAGCACTGAAGCTTTGAGAAATTGGCGTGCAACCTGGTCTATTACTTGGGTCATCAGTCTACTCAAGAACAAGGTCAACGGCATGTGAAGCAGCAATGATTTGTATGACAAGTATTACTTGAAGCAATGAAATGGTTAGGTGCAGATGAAATGGATTTAGCATTTGTGTTCATTTGCAAACTAAATTAAGCAGGTACCCAAAATTAATCAAATACAGTATAAAAAAATATAGTGTTATGCACAGGTGCCCATCAACTTAGGTTTACTTAAGCATCAAGAGAATATTTTCCAAGCTAAAACTACAAAAAATATCAAGATACTGTACTGTATACAGACAACCAAACTGATGAGTACACAGTTCACCAAAATATTCCTACATGCTCTGAGCTCCTACTAATCTTCAGCATAAATGAGTACAGTACTAGGAAAGGAAGGACTGCAAAATGCAATAATAATCATACTGAAATAACTAGACCAACTCAGGAATCAAAAGATAGGTGAGTCACTGAGTGTTGACAGTAGACACCATTCATGACAAAGTGCCAGATGACCTCCACACCAAAGTAGTTAAAAAAATAGATTAAAAAATAGTTAGAGAAACCACATGCATTACGTCTTAAGAGAAACGCACACGAGACACCGATGAACAATTGGCATCACAGAAGATTTAAGATTTTCACAATGAATCACAAAGACTCGCTGCTCCATAACCCTTACACAAAAATCTTAAGTGCTAATGAAAATGACACTTGGTACAAAGATGCTCTTACTTAGAATACCTTAAACAAAACAAAACTCAAAAGAATAGACCAAATAACTGATACTAACACAACACAATATATATAATTCAATTACATGAGACTGAGTACAAAATAGGAATGGGTGAATACAAACCTGGTGTACTGTAGGTCATGCATCAACAAGCTGTGTCTGGTGCATGACTATTACTACATTAACAGATAATACAAGTGAATATTAATTTGTTGCATGCAGAAAATGTAAGATATTTTAGCCTTTAACATATTTTCAAAAACAAGCTGAAGGATTCCATCTCTTCAACACTCATTCACTCTGACAAGTCCTTCCCATTTTAACACAAGGTGCGTGGGATCACACCTCGGCAACTCATAGTTGGCGAGTAATTAGCATTGAAAATAATAATTTAAATTTTCCAAGCACCATTACAACCACTAATTACCCCCAATAATATCATGGACTGTAGATTAGGAATCAGCATGCTCAAGAGAACTGATACTGAGGTTTTAAGCAAAATCTAATTTTGGCCCAAAATTAGATTTTAAGAATTCTTCGACCAAAATATACTTTTCTCTCGGAATTGGAATTTAAGGGTTTAACTAATTAAGTATAGTAAACCCTCGAAAGTCTGGACAATTTGGAGGGAAAGAGGGTGCGGACTTTTACCTGAGAGGGGGGGGGGGGCTGAGGTTTCTGTACAGTAAGCAGCCACTCGTTAGCCCCCCTGACACCCCAATATCACCCACACCCCACACCACAACCCACACACCCCACAACACCACCCACACACCCCAACATCACACACACATCCTACAACACCACCCACACCACCACCCATACACACCCCACACCACCACCCACACCCTACAACACCACACACACACCCCAACATCACACACACACACACACCCTACAACACCACCCATGCCCCACACACCCCCAACACCACTCACACACCCTCCAACACCACCCACACACATGCTCCCTCCAATACCACCCAAACACGGGAATTAACAGAGCAACACATCCAGAGTGAAGGGTGACGATATGATGTGTTGCTGGTTTAGTGCTTTGCTTTATATTATATTAAGTGTAGGTCTTATTGTATGACATAAATTTGTGTGTGGTTAACTGATGCACAATTCTGTGACTGCATGGTGGCGGGTTAACGATCAGCTGTTGGGGAGCACTTGGCAACACTCATTTCCACCTCATCTCTCTAATCACCCACACCTTTCTCCTTTCTCACTCCGTATTCTAAAATGTTATGTAACATAATGTTGAAAAGATACAACATTGCTCATTCATATTGTACTTACAATCAATTTTGTGGGTAAATATCAGCTGTTCACTAGCATCTGCAATGCTGCAGGCACAGCATTACCAAAGAAACTGATGCCATTACATTTGATTCTGGAGACAAGGATGATCCTTTCGTGTGTAGTGACAGTGATGTAAGTAAATCTTAAGAGGAATTTTGAGTTACAAAGATGAAGAATACGCTGGCTGGTGGGCCACCTTCCTCAGGCCATGTGTCCACCATGAGGCGACCACGTGGGATTGTATTGATTCTGTTCATGGTATTCCCTCAACCCTTGAACGATGGTGGTGTAAATCATTAGTAATGACCATGAGTTGCCATCACTATCCTCAAAGGTTAATACTGTATATCTCTTCTGTTTCACTCCTTCATTTTTATACATTATTAACTATGACTGATTCCTCAGACAGTCACACCTAGTCATCAACTGCAATTTAAGTTTTTGAGGTAAGCTGTGTGAAAACTAACCTCATGAGTATGCTTCCTCATTATTATCCTCTAATAAGAACACCTGTTTAATGAGAAATTGACAACTGTTTCTCAAAAGCAGCTATAAAATTTTTGCAAAACACTTCACCATGTGACCATCAATTTTGTAATCACCGAGTGTATAACGACATACAAGGGACACTATACAACACCTTGGAGTATTAAACAGGGACGTCTGCTAGAGGGAGTACTGTATAACACGTCCAACAAAATCGTCACATCATAAATCCAAAATGGTTTTAAAAGAATCTGTCAAACTAAAGTAAAACTGAGGCCAATGCATGAAAACCACATTAACAGACAATAATAACGGGAACAATTACAACATTGACATACACAGGTACAGATGCATTTGCACGAGTACAAAATAAATTAACATAAATCCAGGTCTGTGTACGTGTGTGTTTGTGTTTTATAGAGCTAATAGCTAACCTGTATAGCAAATTAGTAATCAATCAATCTACTGATATTGTCTCAAATAATTTAATAGTATCATCCTGGAAAACAACTGCTATAGGTAGTGATGAATATCTTGTAGGTAATACAAATCTTTAAGACAATGACATCACTACAAGCCCATCCTTATTAATGCTAATTTGGGTTTTGTCTAAGTAGCCTGCCACTAATTTTTTTGTTAATATCCACCAAGTCAATTTTAATTGGGAAAAAATATTCATTAGGCAGCTATGTTTAATCCCTAAACTCTGATACCCTTCTAATTATACACAAAACCAAATTAATATCCACTACAATACTAAGAGACACTAATGACACACACGCACTCACCTAATTCTCTGTCGTCACTGTCCAATACATTTTCTTCCTTTGCAATAAGTTCAACGAGTTCCTTCTTCTTTTTACTTCTTTTCTTCTTGGCTTTACTGAAGTCCATGTCAAGATCAAAGTCATCCATTTCAACTGGCTGGGCCGTCGCTGGTTCCCGGTCCTCACCCGACACCACTCCACTGTCCTTTGAGTCTGGCAGAGCTTCACTTAATTCATCTAAATTGAAAGGTTTCATCTTCTTCTTCTTGCTCTTCTTCTTTCCAAACATCTCCATATCTACAAGAGGAGAGTCAATGTAACTACCGTAGCTTCAAGAGGGAAGGTGAGAAGGACAGATCTATTTAGTCATTTATATTCTTGAACACACTACACCACAGATATTCATATTACTTTAGAATAACTAACTTGTTTTATTTGAAAATTTGGACTTAGGTTAAAATGCATATGCTGTACCTCTCACTTGACAAATCCTAGCCTTAATTAAGTCTATGGTATTTCAAATTTAACTCCCCAAATATGCTGTAATGCCAAATCTGTTAAGTAGGTATTTAAATTCCCAATGCATTGCTACCATCCATTTCTGGCGTGCTTTCCTTGACTTCTTGCACTTCTCCATTTTCTGGGGTGGGTGCTGACTCTACAGGAGGAGTTCCACTGCCATCAGCCAGAGCTGCATCAAGATTAAACCCAGTCTTCTTCTTTTTCTTTTTCTTTAGACTGGGATCAAAGATCTGAAATTGAATTGCAGAATGTAGTACCTTCCTAATACAGTACAGTACAGTACAGTACACCAGCACAAAGCATGAATCTGGATGACAGAGAATAGTAAACATGGGTTCCAGCAAAGAAACCTGCATCAGTTTTGGGTACCGGTAATATAAAAATAAAATCACTGCTTAATGCTGCTGTAACTGCAAAATTGTTCTCTCCTCCAATATAAGGTAATCTAATAAGTATTTAACAAGCATAAAATCATAAGTGCCTTTGTTTATAATCAGTAAGTTTGACAACTTCCTGAAGTAACAGATAGTTACTGCTACAATATGTAACTTATCATTCATAATAGGAAACAAACTAACCCAAAATACTATAGTACAGTGCAGCTGGATGACAAGATAAATGTTGTTACCCGCTGTCGGCAGAATGTTTTGATTGGACCGCTGCTGATCAACAATTACATGTGATATTCAAATGATGGGGAGGAAGATTATGTGGAAATCAACTACAGTAGCAATAGCAATTTGGTAAAACTATAGTTTAGGTTAGGTTATACTAGACGAGAGTGGTCCGGCCTCAGCAACAACCCGAGGAAGTTTCTCCACATACGGTACAGTACTGTATAGACAATACAGTATACAGTACATGTATCTAGACAGTGCAGATATTGAGAAATAGTAAACTGTAAAGTAACTTGACCAAGTCATAGCTGACAAATGGTTACAGTCAAGCTCAGACCATCTCGGATGATAAAAGTACTGTACAATGAAAAAAAAAGCAGCATAGATTGTAAGGGGGGAATTGATTTGTTCTTATTTATCTTTTCATTCTATCTTATTAATACATTAATTTACGTATGTGGAAGCTGTGATCTTTTTTCTTTTATATATATAATTATATATTTTATATTTAGTTCACAATTAAGATCACTTTACCTGGAGACCTGACAACGACACCCTCACAAAATTTGACGGTTGAGGATGACCTGATCACAAGATGTGAGGTTGATGAGTTTCACAACAATTTAAATAATGAGTTACTTAATGCACAAAGGCAGAGCATACCATACAGAAAACTCAGATCAGACAACAATGACCCCAACTGGATAAATAATTATTTAAATATTATTATTAGCCTAAGGGAGGCTATAGGTAGGAGGATAACTCGTGAAGTCTACCTCCGAGATCATTATAAGGTATTGGCCAGCAGGGTTAAGACCGAGATAAGAAAGGCATAGAGGAATACATGTAATGAACTGAAGGTAGCAAGGGAGACGAAGTCAAACCCCAAGGGATTCTTTCAAATGTATCAAACTAAAACAGGAGACAAGATTGGACCAATACCGGTGAGCTAACTGATAACAGAGAAATGAGCAATAATCTGAACAGGTATTTATCAACAGTTTTCACCGCCGAAAATTTAAACACGATTCCCGAGACACCGACTATATACAGAGATTGTGAAGAAAATAGATTAAGTGAGATAGTAGTGGCTAGTAATGATGTTAGTAAGCAAATAGACAAGCTAAAGCCTAATAAGTCACCTGGTCCCGATGAGATAGTTGCCAGAGTATTAAAGGAATATAAGGAAGAGCTTAGTATGCCCTTAGCAAATTTGTTTAACATGTCCTTAAAAATGGGTGCAGTGCCAGAATCCTGGAGGATAGCAAATGTTATACAAATTTTCAAGAAGGGAGATAGATCACTATCCCCTATATACTGTCCAATCAGTTTAACATCAATTGTAGGCAAATTGCTGGAAGCAATAATTTCAAACCCTGTTCGAAATCACCTGGAAAAGCACAAGTAACAAATGTAAATCACGGTTCATTGATCAAGTTCTACTAACATAAACTCATAAAATTCGTCCGTCATACAGATTGAACCCTCGGCATTCACTCATTCACACTCTTAGTATTTCAGTGAACCAAGAGACATAAAACATATCTCAAAATCATTCATGAACCTCCAGTCAAATACTTGTTTTAAGTGTGCAAGGTGGGCCGAGTTAGTAATGTGTGGGCCGAGTTGGTTATTTAAGATGGGCAAGTGCTTTGAATGGCTTTCTTGAGCTATCCTTACGTTGAATCTACTTAAATACTATTTACTATTAGTCAAAGCATATCTACTCGGGACCTCGGTATGCCCAAGTGGGGATGCGCAGTAGATAGCATAACTAGCTGTGCGTTTTGGGGCGACCAAGAATAGCCTTATATTTTTCTAGTGTCTTTTTTGTGTGTCTTGATTGGTTCTGACCATGAATTCCGTCGGAAATTGTCTGTTTCTTAGTTATCGCCCCCTTCTACCCCCAACAAGATAGGGGAACCTGTTGTGAACCAGGTTTTGGGTGGGGGAGAGAAACAAGTTTTTTCCGACAAAAAATCACATGACCAAGTGAATACAAAACACACTAAAAAAAAAACTCTATTAAAACATATAGACCTAACCTTTTTGGGGATGACCTAACCTAACCTAACCTTGTCCAAGTTACTATTGTTTATTCAAGAGTATTCATCACAGTACCAGCCAGTATTACCACAGCCATTCTCTATATATAAACTCCTCCAGGACAGTATTTCACCTAATATATCCCATCAACTATAAACCATTACTCATTAACACACACACACACACGCGCCAGCTGGACCCTGGCCATCACCTCCCTCAAGTCATCCACCATCACCTTAACTAACAACCATGTGTAATTAATAATAACCCCTTTATACTCACACCTGTCATTATACTCACATCAGCCTGTATACTCACTAGGTCTTCATCAGCCATGGTGTATATCCAAGTTAACTCACTAATATATTAAATTTAGTAGGAGCTAAAGGAGTCCCGTCAGCCTACTGTGGGAGGTGTATAGATGAGGTGGTGTTGGTGGCCGCCCAGTGTGAGGCAGGGCGTGATCCTCCTTAAGTGGTGTTGGTGGCCGCCCAGGGTAACAAAAGACTGTGTGAGGTAGGGTGTGATCCTCCTATAGTGATGCTTATCTCTTTATCGGATCCTTTATAAAGAATTGTAATGTAAATTATAATAAAACATGGAAATTGTCTAAATTATTTCATATAAATAATACCTGTATTTTAGAGTCACTTTGAGTTTATTGTCTTCTCTTTATAGTCGTATTTTTATACTGTTGGAATTATTTATATTACTTCATTTAAATGTTTATCGTTAACATATTATGACAGCGGTACTCAACAAACAATACCACATTTTTTACGTCTCTGGGTAAACTATATCACTGCCATAGTCCTCATAAAATTAATACTATTATAGCAGTTGATGTATTTTGATTTCATAGGGAATGGGAGTGTTTGAGGTACAGCTGTAACATGCGTGGCTCTTACATGCGTCCTGGGTTCAATCCCTGACTCTGGACAGCTGCGAGAAAGGTTTTATCAGCAGTGAGAGCCTCCCAAACATGTCTCTGTTATCTCAGTATATTAATGTGGATTGAGATGGTCAAGTTAAAGAAAAATCCCGTAATGCAAAATAAGTTCCTCCTATTGGACTTGAAATTCTCTTCTAAGGGTGTTTATACTGAACTCCGTCATAATTAGATCGGCCTTTCAGGGTTTTGGACATGTTGTACAGCCCATTATTCACTCATTAGTTCCTAGTATAAGGACTGTTCTCGTTGTTTCAATGCCGTTTTATTGATATTTCAGTATATGACTAACTATCAATTAAATTAATTTTAAAGAAGCATGTTCTACCGGTTTTCGAAAGATGCGTTAATTTTTATAAAGAAAATACGTGATAATAAAGCAAGAAATAGAATCACCTGAAAGTTGAAACTAGAGAAGAAACTATGTGTGTGTGTTTAGTGGTTGGTGGTCATCAACAAATGAGTCCACACTCCGGATACACACCTGTAGTCTCATGTACCAACATAACTTTCAGTGGGACTTCCTGACACCTCTGCCATACATAGCCCGCCTGTCTCCTCACTGTGGAACACAACTAAACATTACTAATCATTTAATAATAACTAAGCAATATGAAATACAAGTAATTGAATGTTTTAAAAATTTTCATATTACACACTGGGCTTACGTATAAATTTACTATTTGTTAACATGTAAATATCTAAATGACAAAATGATCAGACAACCTTCGACCTTATCCCTTCCAAAGTGAAAGTGAGGGATGACCGGATAACAAAGGTACAGTTCAGTTACAAAATGCATTTCTTGTGGCAAAACCCTGGGTGTGTTAATACAAAACTCCACCCAAATTAACTACCCGCAGAAGCACAGGTCAAGGCTAAATGGTCATGATAGGTGAGAGAGATAGGGACCGTGTTTCCTCTTTTTGTCTTGTCGTCGGGAGTCGGAAATGCAACCCGTCCTTAACTGAAATATTACTGTCTGGGCATAAGCAAAGTGAAATATTGTTTGATAAAGAAATTAGCTTAACTCTTATCTACACATGCATGCTTCAGACTCGATCCTTTTCATATCCGTTTATATTCATGAAGTTACAATAACACTCGAGTTACTTTATTAATTTTTTCTTCTTTTACTGATTACCATAATAAATACATAATGAACGCCGACCCTAATCCTGCAACTTGAAGCACATAGCAATGGAACCACACGTGGGGAAGAATAAAGTTAGAATTACATTCACTCGTCAGCGTCAACGCCAAGAATAGATCACATTGAACTGTATACGGTCGTTTCTATGGGCACGGTTGCGTTAGCGTTATGCAATTGCAGTACATGCCAATCGCTCCTTGTAACGATTGAAATCGCAAACACACTGCAAAGTGTAAATGGAATCCTAGCTTAACAGATATGTGCAGAAAATGATAATAGTACAATACCGATTTTTTCAACGTGCAATTATCTTCTTCCTGTGACTGTAAGGGTTCTGTAACGTAACAAGGGGCTTTGTAGGCACTCTGTACTCGGTGCCTACCAAAATGTTCCTTTATATGTAGGCTCAGACTACACAAAGATGTTAGAACTATGTCAAATAATAACAGTATTTCCGTTTTTGTAACTTGGTTAAACGTTGTATCCGATGTCCACGGGTTGGCTCTTCTGTCCCCAGCGACCGAGGGACTATGGGAAGAGGAAACGGGTTGGCTAATTTTGAGTTAAGCTCTAATTAAAGCCTACTTCATTTATTACATTATCTTGAATAAAAAGTGTCATCTATGTTAATATATTTATCAGAATTTACTCTAATTTACTTAAACTTTTAATAACTTAAAATGTATTACTTACTGGAATAACCATATATACGTCAGATGTGAAATTTTCTCGTGAGATGTTTAATATAAAATGCCTCATGGAAACTGGACCATATTGCTTAATTCTCTGCTATATATAGTGGAAGACAGTTATGGTGAGTACAGTACAGTAGTTACACGACTGAACAACGGTGAACTTTGCTCCAACATTGAGGATCACTTAATACTATAAACACAAGGTAAAACAATTATTATTTTAAAAGGTGTTGAAGGTGTTGGTTAATCTAGGTCTGAGAACCGACCTATGGGAACTGTGTATATACGTGTGATTTCTGCAGTAGTGTATAATTGTTACTTTTGTAGCTTTATACTGTTTATTCTCTTAATATAAATAAACTCTTACTTAATAGTTCTTATTAATAAAATCACTACTACCCTAAAAAGACTTCCTACACACACCTAAGACTCCGAACTATTAGGATGAGTCTTGACTATTTTCATCTCTTTGCAGGATGGCGGAAAACAAGAAAATTTTGGGCAACTGCTGCTTCTTCGTCTCCCTCAGGACTGGCTCTCTCCTCATAGCCCTCTTCAGCCTGGTGAGTCAACATGCTAATATGGAAGTTGGTAATACTTTCCTTAGCTGTAGTTTGTAATAATGATTTTTATGCTGTACTGTAGTTAGTAATACCGCTCTTAGCTGTAGTTGATAATAATGTTCACTTCTGGAATGGGCAACATTTTTTTCACCTTTCTTTTGTTTTATATTAAATTTTAAGTTTCTGATTAATTTTACTTGTGTGTTTTCTTTAGTTGAAGTAGATGCCTCCATAGCACATCTAATGTCAGAGTGAAATAATATTAGATATTATTCCTTGAGGCTTCAGGGGTACAGTATTGTAATTTTCTATTGTTCGGCAACACAAGTTAAAAATCTGTCTTCCATTTACAGTTGTTTAGCATGATTGGTGCGGCCTACAGCCTCTACCTTGGACTCATTGGTAAGTTGAGGCTTTATTGTGCGTGTTCGCTTTGTCCTGTAATGTTAAAGATAGAAAAAACGAACCTACCAAACATAACGTAATCTACTTAACCTAATGATCTTAGCTCTGTGGTTAGGTTCGTTATGGGTACTGTGATAACTGCTCCTCTACACAGTACGTTCCTTCTCTACCCACAGATCACGGCCGTAAACATTATTTAACCACCTTTCTCTCCCCAGGTAACCTAGAAGGCTGGCCCGATCTGATCATCGATATTGTCCACCTGGTTTTGGCATCTATCCTCATCCACGGCGTCCGCAGCGTGAGTCAACCGCCTCAGTTTGGAGTCGTAATGCCTCCTAGATATCAAAGAAGGATGTTTACTCTCTAGTAGTGATAAATTAGGAGCCAATCTTGGTATATGGATATTTTATAAGTTCTCAGGCAAATTCAACACTGTTCTAAACTTCTTCTGTCATTACTGCAGGAAAACGTCCAGCTGGTGAACATCTGGGTGTGGGTTACAAGTATCCTAGTGGGTATTACCATCATCCTGGGTATCCTCATCATCATCCTTACCGACTCTCTCATCGGCGCCATCATCCTGCTGGTCGTCTCCGTCCTTCAGATATACTTCGTCTTGGTCGTGCGCTCTTATGCCGTCTCCATTAGTTCTCTGCTTCCCACGCCGGTGTAGCAGTTAAAAGTGAACACTGTCAAAGACTTCAGGCCACCTGGCTTATTGTATCATGAACTTTGTAATTACTACATTGAACCAGGGGTGCTTGAAGACATTCTTGCTGTTTATCCAATGTATATGAACCACTGTCCTGCCTGGCAGTGAACAGCGACATCAACCCACATGAATCTGACCTATACACACTGTTAATGAATATGATCTATTCTTTTATGTATGAACCTCTGTGCTGCGTGACAGTGAGAAGTGATACCACCCTCAGTGTCAAGACCTGACTGAATTACTCAGAATAGGCAAACTGTACTCCAAGCTTTGTCAATAAATTTGTTAAACTAAAAAAAAATTCCTCTGAGATTCCGTGGTGAGCAGAGCTGGTGAATGACGACTGATAGTAGCATTATGTTCGACTTCCATGCGTTTGGATGTATAATAATTCAATTAATTAAGATGTAATGAAACAAACTCCTTTATAATAAAAAAACCCGTTTTATTTCCACAGCTGATGATCTACTAGCAGATACTAGATATTCAAACGGCCATATGTGTAATTGTTAGATTCCTGTATGTATATTTATTTAAATAAATACTGTATAGGAATGAATAAAACCATTGAACTGTACAGTATTAATCGCTGTATCTGGCTTCCCATAAGTGTTATTTCATCCTTCCTCAATGGCTATTCAGGGGAAGATAAATTTATGGGTGCATTATCACAGATTACCCACCCAGCTTATGGTCAATATAGTTCATCTGGTAATTAATCTATGATGTCTGATTAATCATCCCTTTCATTCCCCTGGTTTAATCTCCCGTGTTTTATTTTTCCTTGGTTTAGTGGGGTCACCTTCTCTCCCTCTGGGTTCTTTATTTACTTCATTTGTTAATACCCGTCTGATAATGCTATTCATTCTTTACAAGGGAATTGATCTTATGCAACTCTTGTGTGTACGTGTAGTAGTACTAGTGTGTGTGTGTACGTGTAGTAGTACTAGTGTGTGTGTGTGTATTAATTAACTGGCTCTTATGCAGTTTGTTTTGGTTATGTAAGATAATCATTTTTTATTATGTTGGATCTTTTCGTTTGGTGAATTTAATTTTTTGTTCCACTCACCGAGGCTGCCAGGGGGAGTAGAGCACCACTGTTCCTCCTCAGTCATAGGGGCACGAGGCTGTCTATAGATTTATACACTTGTGGACGATCCTCACAACAACATCCTCCAGCACGAAGTATCAACTACTGACGTTCCCCAGTACACACCAGTACCACACAAGACAAAAATATGAGATACGAGGTGAAGGGAGCAGTGTGGGGATCACCTGCCCTCACACGACAACAAACGAACACTGCCGTAATTGGTCGTTAGGAGTTGTTCAGTAGTTAACGAGGTGGGGTGAAGCTTACCAAGGCAGGGAGGCAGGGCTCGGTGTAGTCTCGGAGGGATGTGATATATTGGTGAATACAAGTCTTACACTAAAGCAGATACACTGTACAGTATGTGAAGTCTGGGTATAGTTAGCATCTGTTCTAGTTTTTGTTAAGGTTAGGTTAGGTTAGGTTAGGTTAGGTTAGGTTAGGTTAGGTTAGGTTAGGTTAGGTTAGATAAACGTAAATATATTCTCGGTGTACTTATGGTGGTATTTTTGATATTTTTACTTAATTCAATTTTTACATGTTAATTTACGAGGAACCTTAGAGAGAAAGAGAGAGAGAGTGTGTGTGTGTGTGTGTGCTCTTGATGCTGCTATGTGGTGGTCGGTCACTTGCCCTGAGTTAGTAATTTCCGAAAGGTTCACAGGTAAATGTTTCCTCTAGTCAAGATACGAGAATATTTATAACTAACACAGAGATAGGAGTAAAAACGGGATATATATAGCAGAGCTATTTTTTTAAACCAACTACAAGGGAATATTTCAAGGCACGGAACTTTGTATATCTAGACCAGGAGGAACTGTTACTGTACCCCGACCTGCAGCGGGATACAGCGCCACGGGTACTGAATAACATTAAAAGTTCAGCACGATGTCATGAACAATTCTCCAGGTGATGCCAGTACAGTACACTAGGATACACATACCAACTGCTGCAAGAAATTGTTTATTCTTCTCCATAATGATGCAAATCTGGTCAGGATCCTTGAGTAAGGTTGGCACATACAAAAACTGACCTTTGGAGATGTCCCGTTTAGTGGGTCATTTGAGGCCCCAAGATTTAGACCACTACAATGCACATAAGGTCTTAGTACACCCTACAAGTGGTGGTGTTCAGGCCATATATACACATTATACTTCCATCTATAATTTCCCGGGCTTATACTAAAGCTTAAATTTAATACTATAGTTAAAAAACAAAATGAGCGTTGCTGCAGCTCAACGAGTGCAGACAATGTGACGGGAGTACAGTGCACTACAGTAGAGTACAATAAAGTTCAGTACAGTACCAAAAGGAGCAAAGTACTAAACCTTATTGACTTTTTTGATGTGAACTGAACAGGTCCATCAATGGACACTAAAACCAACAGCATATCTAGTAACGGACGTCCCATGCATGCACACGAACAACATACACACATCACACGTAACCTTACAAATATATATAACATCTTAGTCATAAACGAGCGTGTGTATCCCCTTTTTAACTTAGCTTACATGCCAGCAACCTTGCCGAGGATAACAGTAGCTAGATGTGACGTGCCTGACAGCCGCCATGACCATTCTCTTCGGGTTTCCTCGTCGCTGGTCAGGGAACGGGGACACTTTTCAGGCTTTTATACATATAAAAAGATTTTTTTTTTTTTGGTATAAGACATCTCTTTCCCCAGTAGTATCGACAGCTTAAGTGCAAACCTCGCCTACTAGACCTGTTCCAAGCCGAGTCCGGACCAGCCTCCTCCCACGGGCCGGGGATAAGAACCAATAAACTCTCAATGATAAGTATTGGCAATTTTCAATAAATTTATATCTTTTCAAAATTTAGTTTGGACCACTAAAATTACATAGGTGGGAGAAAGGGACTAACTACCATATGCGTGTCTTCTCTCGACTGTACTGTACAAACATTTATATCTTAAAGCCAAATTTGGACAAGTGGAATTTCAAAAGACGAGAAGCAACTGGCACCAATAAACTGTCAGGTTAGGCTTGGTTAATTTTGGTTAGGTTAATTTGGTTGTTAGGTTTGGTTAGGTTGATGTAATTAGGTCAGGTTAGGTTCGGGTGGTTAGGTTACGTTACGTTAGGAGACCATCTATAGAATGTCTCCAAACAACGATATGTTTTACTGTGTGACGGCGCGTGACAATGAACACCGTAGAGGTTCTGATTTATGTTATCTATCTATTATGGGAGAACCAGACGATGAAACAAGCAACGAAGAATAAATACGACTTATTCTATTCTAAGACACGTCTACCCATATTCCAACAGCCTCTTAAAGAATAAATGATGCGAACTTTACATTTTCTGTTGGATTAAATTCTTTGCTAGACGCTACACAAGACTAGGATAAATGGTACTAGGCTACTCTGTTCACCACACAGGAGAATAATGGAAACAGTTGAGTCAGTCTAAATTTACACCTAAAGTAGAAAATAACGAGCTGAAAGAATTAAAACTTTCCCGTGTGATTAAAACTGTTATATCCGAGAGATCTTTGAATACCAGACAAAGTGAATGGTTCTAGACGGACCAGATGTATAAATTAATACATTATACAATAAAGGAATGAAACCTGAAGGAAAGTTTGACAAAGACTTATACTGGACAGTGATGCAAAACAAAAGTCTAGCCAAGAGAAGCTATTTACCGTGAATCATCTCTTGAACAAAACCTGGAAAATATGAATCAAACTGAAGTCATAAATCATGTGAGTGTTTAAGACTTGAACTAAAGTCTTTACACATCTAATTATTGTCTTGGTTAGTGATCTTAGTGACCTTTGACCTGGAGGAGAAAGACCAAGAACAGGACAGTGAATCATGCTTGGTACAAAATGGTGATCGATTCTCTTTTTGTTGTGGTGATACTGTCTGTTACAGTCCATGACACACATACGGACGGGGAGACAGACACATGGACGGACACTCCCCATTTCTTCATATTATTGCTCTCACTGAATACATAATTTGGTTAATATTGACGATAAACCAGCCGAAACGTAAATTTTATTAATCTTTTCTTACTATATTTTCATCGCCGAGTAAAACCTCTCTAATTCTTATCTAATCCTGAGAAAAATCAACCAAGTGAAGTCCTAAAATCACTTGAGACCAAGGGAGAGGGAGCAACACACACACACTATTAAGGTCAAGACTGGTCACCAAGAACACATCTAACTCTTAAGTATATAAAATAAATAAATAAAACAAATAAATATATAAATAAATAAAATATTACTGAGTTTAATCCAGATTCATTCATATTCTTTAGGAGTTTCCACGAGATAACAAAAGACTGAAGCATATGAGGACTGACCGGGAAGAAGCTGTATGGTAACTTATTAAGAAGCGTTGGCAAGGGTGAGGGTTCACTTCATATACTGGACATGCAAGTTGAGGATGTGACCAAGTGTGTGTGTGAAGTACTATGTGTTGCATCTCTTTCCTCTCACTTTACACACTTCATCTTTCATTATTCTTCCTTTCTCTAGCCTTCTTTGTTCACTGTTTCACCGCACCTGAGATCAGAAGAGTAATAGATGAAGGCTCCAGGGAAAGGGGGTCAGTTACTCTTTCTTCCTTCCTTTGTCTTTTAGAAAACTGGTCCAAACTCTGGTTAACATGACATAGATGCTGTCTGCTACTGAGATAAAGAAATATCCTCTACCTGTTAAACTCTTATCAAAACACTAACAGTTGCTTGGCAGTTCAAATACACACACACACACAAAACAAATTCTCATGCATGTGTTATGACCGTGAGTACAGTGTGGTAAACAAGTGCTCCTGGGTGCTGTAGTTCACTGTCAACCTGTTTTGTAAAACCAAAATCAGTGAGACTCTGTACATGAACTCTGAATCATTCTAATTTAGCACCATTAACAATACATGATATAGCATTGATAATTGGGAATGTTATCTCACATG